GCAAGATGTGGGAAGTCCAGGAAAGATCGGTGGAAAAACTCAGCCCAAGGAACTTCACATTAGATGTATTTTCAGTTAAAGAGCCAACGAAGTGGACAGGCCAGTTAATTGATGAAAGTCTTCATAGGCCTGTTGAAAATTCTTCTCGTGACACATATGCACTGCAAGTCTCTGACCTGTATAGAAGGACCGACTTGATACGGGTGTTGAAGAGAATCCGAATTTTCTTTCTTATGTTAAATGCAGAAGATTTCCGAATTGGTTTCAGGTTGATGAAAGTGTATCTCTTGCCTTTCTAATTCTGGTTGGCTATGTGGTTTCGACATCTTCATCTGTGCTGTCCGCCTACCTGTGTTTGAAACGATGTTTTAGCTGCCTAGATAAGTGGAGGCAGGATATAACCTCTGTCAAATCTCTTCCGTGTTAATGGTGACTGGTGCTGGTTGTTGTTATTGTTGCTGCTAGTGGTGATTGGTTATCTTCATCACTTCTGTCTTCTCTATACTCACTTGGAGTCATATCTTCGCTGCTTTTCAGCCATTCTTTCAGTTTTCGCCTGTAAGTCTTCGAGTTCATATGACATTAGATATATATCATCTGCGAAATCCAGATCATCTAGAGTCTTCTTATCGGTCGTCTAGCGTATTCCTCCTGTCTCCTCGTCCCTATGCCCAGTCTAACGCATGATCCAGTTCACAACAATTATGAATATCATCTGTGGTGATAATAGGCAACCAGCCAGCCTTGCCTTACCCCTGTATTCACTTCGAACGCTTCACTGAGTTTCTCGTTGTGAATCGTCTGACACGTGCCACTGTCTTATAGCCAGCCAGCTGTTGAATGATGTTGATGAAGACTTGGGCAATGCACATCGTAGTGTTGAAGTAGTTTCCAAATTACTTCTCAGTCAACACTGTCTGTCGAAGGTCTTTTCGAAGTTAAGGCAGAGTGAGCTTTGACTGCCATTCTATGCACAGCCTTTTCGATGACGATGCGTAGAGTCGCTATTCCATCTACACATGATTTACCTTTTATAAATCCAGCTTGTTCTGATCGGTGGGTGGATTTCTGTATCCAGTGCGTCTTTCATTCTTTCCTGTTCTTAGAGGGTCTGCATCTCTCTCTATAAAAGCTGATTTTAAATACATATCTTTGTTTCTCGATTGTTATACTTGAAAGAGCAAACTGTGAGTGGGACAGTGAGAGAGGGGGCGGGGGGTACATTTACTTCATTCAATGCATGGAAAAAGAAATGAACTGAGGACCTCTTATAGTCCACTTAACTCAATGTTAATTATATGTAAAAACAAAAAAACAACAAAATAACAGTCAAATGTCTGCTAAATCAACATTTCACCAAAACAACACTGTCCCACAATTTATAAACACTAACAAATAGTGAATGTAATAATGAAATGAAATGAAATAACACGAAATCTCTCTTGTTGTCCAATTTATGTAAATAATAGTGGTAGCATTAATAATAATAATAATAATCATGATTTTTGATTAGAAACATGGAAAAATATTTTGAAACAAGGATTCTTAAGAAAAAACAACAAACAGTTTATGCACAAGCAATGTGTGGACAATGTTTGATTCAATGGTGTGTTTAGGTAACACAAATTCCATAACATTCTCTAATTCACAAAAGGTATCAGTTGACCAGGACGCTTTTGAAATGTGGTATGGATAACAAAGTCTAAATTTGAATTTAACAAGAATTGTCTTTGTGTTTGTGTGTGTGGCACTATCAACTGTTAAGTCCAGTACATATGAGTATGGCAGAGATTTCTTGGTCATTGACTGACAGTCAAATAGAGCATAGTCTCAGTGAGGCTCGTTGTGTTCCGAGTAGAATGTAAGCTATCAGCACCACAGGCTCTCTACTGATGACAGTTCACTTCCATCAGTCAGCTGACTGACTGAGTGACTGTCAAGCTTTCACTTTCCTCGTGTGTGATATTCTTTGGGCGTTGGTGACACAGAGGTAGAATGCTCTCCAAACACGCGGCACATGGTTTGGGGTTCGATTCCCGTCCACTGACGCACTCCTTCACTTCGCTAAGCCATTAGTAAGACTGGTAAAGAGGGAAGGTTGGGCATGAGGCTAGGAACCTTCATCCCGTAGAAATAAACACCTCTGCTACCGAAACTTTAAGACCTCTGGCTTGAAGCTCTCCCAATGTTCCACTGGGAACATACAGGAATAAAATAAATAAAAATAATAATGATATTTTACATTTCGCGTTCAAATGCATCGGTGTCACAGCGGTTAGGACTCTCTCTGACCATGGACATATTCCGGGGTCGCGATTCCTGCCGATACACACCTGATATCAGTGGTCGGCCTGCAAAATTTTGGCTACCGATATCACATGCTAAAAACTCCATAAGTGTATCAAAACTACCGTGTGGAATCAAGCTATAATCCAAATAAATAAATAAAAATAAAAAATGCCCAACTCCTCACACATTCATCATTCAGGTTCCACTGGAAGACCTTGTAGGTGTGAGATTTTACCTGAGTGTCTCTTTACTCTATGTTATGCTCATCTTCATTTCTTTCTGAGTGTTTATTGAGCAGTCGACTCTTGACTGATTCGTTACCTGTCTGTAGCAGTTCGAATCACCACACTCCTTCAGTATAGCACACAAAGCAAAAGGAGTGAGTAAACAGAGACAGTAAACACAGATATGACGCAAAAAGGATAATAATCTGAAAGAACAATAAAGGTTTATTGGGTATTATAAGTCACAAGGAGTGAATGTATCTAACAGCGCCAACCATCATTGAGAACGATGATTTTGAGCCATATTACCGATCGCCTCCAGCCTTCATTGGTGTTTACAATCCCGAGGACTCCAACCAGTTAGAGTCCCAACGTGGCCAGCTTAAACTAACTGTTTTGGCTTTACGTTAAATAAAGTAAGAACAGCAGTTTTTGCAGAACAAATTGTTATCATCCTTTGTTTATTTCGTTAGCTTTCCATCAGCTGCTTGCCTACCGGCTAAAGATATTATTAAGTATATCTACAGAAACAATTTTAACATACTTTCATAGACAGAGAGTTCATTTTTAAACAAAAATCAATGAATCAATATATGCATACAATGCTAATAATGATAATAATAATAAACACTTTATCTCAAATAATAATGATCATACACAATAGAATCTATTGGTATTGCGTAATCAGATGAAAGATATACTTAATAATGTCTTTAAGCGGTAAGCAATCAGCTGATAATAAGCCAACGAAATAAACGATGATAGTATTATTTGCAATTAATAGTGTTCTCTGAGCCAGCTGGTTGGTTTAGTTGAGGAGCTTTCGTCGTCCAACCTCTGGACAATATCCCTATTCATTCATCCCTATTTAGCATAAAGTGAAATGATTCAAATTTTTCATGAGTGACAGAATTGCGTCTCCCGGTAACCATCTTTACAAATGGATTGATCATCCACTTTCTATTGACTTAGATTTTAAACTTTCTGGTCACCTGATTTACTTTTTATTAGTTGGTATATTTGGTCTATATTAACGTGTTTTTTAATCAGTTGCATATTCGTTTGAGCACCAGGCTTCTAAGAGGTTCCCTGACTGCACTTTTAGTGTTTCCTCTGTCTAAGATTTCGTCATTATCCAAATCAAACAGATGTCTATAATTGTCTATGTGCATTGGTATTGATATGAAAGAATATATCTCATGTCTTTTCACGGTTGATTTGTGTTCCTGATTCGAAGGGGACGCCCACTTTAACCACCGATATACTGTCTGTTACAGTTCATACAATTTATTTAGTAAATGATATAAATTTTATCTCCTTTTTCTGTTGGATGGGTCTTTCGGTTTGCGTAATATCGAATGAGGCGATTTCACTGGCTTGTGTTCTATATCCATATCAAACGGTTTCAGTATTCTAGGTGTTATTTCAGAAATATATATATATATCTTTCTGGTATCATTTTAATTCAATTTTAGATTTTCCCATTGATTAATTGGACTGAAGTACTCGGTCTCAGGTTGACGTGTCTGTTGACTTCTTGTGCAGATGCTTCGACGATGTCTGGGCATGTAATTAGAAATTGATTGGCGGATAGTGACTAGCAGTGGAATCCAGAATGTGTATTTCGTCCTTTTGAGGACTCGTCAGCTAACTAGATGTAGCCGCATTCCACAGTGGGTGATGATGTTCATCATCAGATACATTCAGATGACGAGTCCCAAATAGGACGAATCAGAGACTTGGCGCGTCATAAAGAGCATATCAAACAAACTTCAAACCTTCGTTAACAGTTGTCTTCGCTCAATACTCAAGATCAGATGGCCAGAAAACATCAGCAACAAGGATCTCTGAAAATGAACAAACCAACCCAGCAGGAGCTGATTGTGCAACAAATATGCAGGAATAAATGCAGGTGGATCGGTCAACTCTGAGGAAACCATCAAGTGACATCACTAGACAAGCCATTGCTCGAGTGGAACATGAAAGGGAAGCGGCGAGTTGGTCATCAGTGCGAGGGTGACTTGGAGGAGGAGGTGATGTGAAGAGGAGATGAAAGCATGTGGGTAGACTTGGAGCGGGGTGAAAAAGTTGGCAGAGAACCGAACGCAATGGAGACGTGAGTGGCTGAAGCCCTGTGTTCCTCTAGGAATTAAAGGATATAATAATAATGATAATAAATAGGATGAAATGTGCTTTATCCAGAATTCCAGTGCTAATCACCATCCACAAACTAACTTCTAATGGTAACATCTTGTATTCTGCGGAAACTGCTGTTCATGTTTGTATGCTTTTATTCAGTTTCATTAAGGGAAATAAATGCATAAACTCTTTCTCTACTAGCCATAATCAACTTATTGTTGAATAAATCGTAATTTTTCTTGTAGAATTTTCATTGTTTTCTTCTCTTCTTTTCATTGGTTTATTTTTCTGTTCGGGATGGGGATGGGGTGGGGTGGTGTCGGTGTCGGTGGGGGCTGGTTTCTACAGAATATTTGTAATTGTATTAATCTTATTGAGTATAGCCTGGATACCTGTTATACAAGAATTACAAGGCAGTCAATTATTCCCGTATATTCAAGCTGTCTCAGCGTATTTAGCTCCGCCTGTTGCCGCAGTCTATTTGTGCGCTATACTGAATAAACGAAGCACAGAAAGGGTAACTATTTTGTTCAGTTCAGTTCTGTTTTGCTTTGCTTTGCTATTTTTTTTGGTCGTAATTCTCGACATTCTAATTTTTTTTTGATGAGTTTTTTTGTCTTCTTCAGCTCATCTTCCTCATAGAATGAGATAAATCACTGGGGGCAGGGGGGGGGAGGTTATAAAAAATGAAAGGCGAACTAATGATCTTTGAAAAAAATAAATAAATAAAAGAAGAAGTTAGACAATTTGACATTTTATAGAAAGCAAGTTGTGTATAATGTAAACAGAGAAGCAGAAAGTATTCGATAAAACTTATTCTTCTCTGTAGTATATTTATGTATATTATAACAGACATAATCCATAAGTATACGCAGCCTACTAACCAGTTTTTCAAAAAAGCGAGAACTCTACAGTTTTAGCAGAATGAATAAAGTGGTACCATCCTTTGTTTATTTCGTTGCCTTCTCGTCAGCTCAGCTGCTTACAGACCAAAGTCATTATTAAATATATCAATATATCTTCATTTTAAACAAAAATCAATCAGCCGATCAATATATGTATACAGTAATAATATATACGTATATATATATATATATATATATATGTAATATTAAACACTATTCCGAACAACAGTAATAATCATACACAATGGAAACCTTTCAGCATTTCGTATTCAGATGAAAGAGAGATGAAATTAGAGGAATAATTTGAGTTTGTTGAAAAGATGTTGAAGAGCAGTGGGTACCCTCAAAGGTTCATCAACAAGTATGGAAGATCTGTCTGAAGTCACAGATGTAAAACAAATCACAGTAGGTAAAAAGCCAATCTACATTGAGCTTGATTGATTATAAAGGTGAAAAGATTGCAGCGATGATCAACAGAAGGCTGAGTACATCACTAGCCATAGCCTAGCTTATCATGCAGCTGGCTAAGCTCGTCCCTGTCTATCGAACAACTTGCTCTCATTTGGTGCAATCAAAAATCGATAGATATCCTTCTCATGTTGTTAACTCCAACTGTATATAGAAATTTACATGTATCTGTTGGAGCAGTTACATTGGAAGGACAGAATGAAGAAGGGTGTATCTACGATTTTCTGAACAAATGCTTTAAACAGTGCCATCCATCGTCAGGCATCTCCTTGACACGGGTCATCAGGTGGACGTCGAAAAGTCGTTCAAAATTATCACTAGGCAAAAGAGCTCAATTCTCCTCAGGTTTGCTGAGACCATCAAGCGCCTGAAACCAGATAGAAGCCAGATACAAGTGGTTATCAGTCTTTTTTTGCCCAACTTGGTAACTGGATATTTTCATCTCTCTTTCATCTGAATTCAAAGTGCTGAAAAGCTTCCATTGTGTATGATGATTATAGTTCGGAATAGTGTTTAATATTACTGCATGCGTATATTGATCGATTTATTTTTGTTTAAAATGAACTTTGTGCAAGTAAGTATGTTAAAATTGTTTTTTTTTAAATATATTTAATAGTGAATGCCTTAGTCCTGTAAGCAACTGATGAGAAGGCAACGAAGTAAGCGATGATGGTACCACTTTATTCTGCTAAAACTGTAGTTCTTGCTTTGTTCAAGTACATTAAGGGGAATAAATGTATGATGTAACCAGTTTTTCTCGGCTAGTCTAGTTTACATGGCATGAAAGTTGAATCCGGAGGATGATTGGAGTATTTTTAGTAGTAGTAATAGTCACTGAGAGCTGGTTAGTATCATGTGTTTAACCTGTAGACATTCTAACTGATCATTTTGATAAAACTGTCTTACTTCTGTAAGCGATCAGTCGTGGACTTCATTAGCTCAGTGGTAATATCTCTCTGATTGCAGCATTGGGTGACGCGCATATTTATGATTCCCAATGGGGTGGTGAAGATATGCAGATGATTGGTTGGAAGATTTCACCATGAAATGATATTAGACTCTTCATCAGTACGCACCCACCACAGCGATTCGAACCCACTCACTACCTTCTGGTTACAAGGCGTTCTAGCTTGTAGACCATTCATCAGCTACTGGGACCTGACTGATCCAATGACCAGCCAGCCCATGAGTTCTAACTTCTGCCAATTCATGCACGACATATCGCGACCACTTTGTAATGTCTTCTTTCGATGAGTTACTGTCTCGGTAGAATTCAAAGCCTCCGTAGTATTGCTGTATAAGGAATGAACGTTATAGGCCTTACACGTAGGATTCTCAGTGAGGCTGGAATTAGTCAGGGTGGCATTTAAACCAAACAACCAACTCTCTCAGAAGATAAACTTTGTCGACTGAAGGATCCAACAGATCCAATTAGGAGAAATAATATAATTTACTAAATATCATGCAATTAATGACTGTGAAAGGTCAACTACATAGATCAAACTAATAGATCAGGGTCAACTAGAATATCGGAACATGAAATTTTAGCTAGACCTAGAATAATTGATCCTGCTAGATTAAATCAAATAACTTAGAAAAAACCTCAGCCAATTCACTGTATTGCATCCATTTGTGTGTAATCATACAATAGGTTGAGTGGGACAGGGTGAGAGTATTAACAGATAATATTAGTTAGGTGGAGAGAGACAGACAGAGAGAGAGAGAAGTTAGTCACTGAATCTTTGTTTCTCGATTCAACACCTCACACGTACAGTCAATCGGAATGACGCAACTCCGCCTGTACCGGAGATATGGAAAACAGCAACAGACAAAAAAGGGAATTGTATGGAGGATTTAATCATGAGCTGACATCAGTTAGATAACCACTGGAAAACCTGGGAGTACTGGACAGCTGTTTCGCCCTGGTTTGAGACTCTTCATCAGTATGCACCCACACCGCCAGGGTTCGAACCCAGAACCTTCTGGTTACAAGGCTATCGAGCTCGTAGAGCATTCATCGGCCACTGGGCCCCGATCCAATGATCTTTGAATTCTAACTTCTGCCAATTCACGCACGACATAGCGCGACCATTTCGCAATGTCTTCTTCGATAAGTTACTGCCTCATCTTCAACCTGCTGCTGTACCCTACTGGTCACGGCTTCCCACTAGAACCCCAGGTCAACTGCCTGAATAGGGCCAGTCACAAGTGAGCATCAGGTGAATTTTCAAGTATTGGTTTTGCAGGGATTTTATTTGGTGATTGAATGGAGGATTTCATCATGAGCTGACATCAGTTAGAGAACCATTGGAAAATCTGCCAGGGAGTACTAGACAGCTGCTTCGTCTTAGTTTGGCACTCTTCAACAGTACGCACCCACCGCCAGGGTTGAAAGTCATGACCTTCTGGTTACAACGCGAGCTCGGGTCCCAGTGGCTCAATGGTCTACGAACTCGCTAGCCTTGTAACCAGAAGCTCCTGGGTTCAAATCTCTGTGGGGCGTACTGCTGTTGATCCCCAAAATAAGACGAAACAGGTGTCCAGTACTCCGTGTGACTGGTTTTCCGTTGGTTCTCTAACTGATGTTAGCTCATGATGAAATTCCCCATCAAATCAATCAGACAAAATCTCTACAAAACTAATGCTTGGAAATACTTATTTTGTCGATTAGGTTATCTCCTCTAATTGAGTAAGTCTACAGAGTTTGTCTTTGAATAATATTTTTTTAGGTTTAAATGCCACCCTAATTCCTGCGTAATTAATAATTCGACATAGGATTGCATATCTATCCTTTCATCTCTATGATAATACTATGGATCATCCTTCTTGTTTATGTTGTAGTCAAATAGTTGGACTAATATTTATTCACATCAATAGAGTATCGGTTTTTTTTGTTTCAGAGTTGCCCATACCCATGCATGCTTTGTGCTAAGGTGTGTGTCAATAAGCATAAAAACTAGGCTTAAGATTGAGGAGTAGTAGTCATTCGTCTTTATTTGTTAGTTCATTCCAAGGACATGTCTACACGTGTCTTACCAGGTGTTGGTTTAACTGTTAGTGAATTGACAATCTATAACCGCTTAGAATATTACAGAATATTAACTAATCAATAAGAGAATAAAAGTATTAATAATGATAATAATAAGTTTGCATTTCGTTAAATATTAGAGAGCAGTTGGCAAGCTGTTTTGTTCTAGTTTGGTACTCTTTAGCACTTGAATTTAGATATTGCATATAACAAGTGTAAAAACAAAGTACTTCCCATTCAGTACTTTGAAAAATACAGAGAGCTTCAAGCTAGGTCTTTGAAGTTTCGGTATCAGCGGTGTTTATTTTTACAGGATAGGGTTGCTAGCCTCATTCCGCCTAACCTTCCCTCTTTACCAGTCTTATCACTGGCCTAGCGAGGTAAAGGAATGCGTCAATGGCTGCAAAGATCGAACCCAGGACTACATGAGGCGTGCTTGGCGAGCAGTTGTACCACTGTGCCACTGACGCACCTAAACTTATTACTTTTTAATAGTTTTACTCTGTCTCGTTCTATTGTATTACTGTATATACGATTTATAACAATAGCTTAGATTTTCTCAAGATTACTTAATCGAAGTCTAGTTATAAGCTCCTCTATTTTCACACAGTCTAATGGATCTTAATCTTTTAGTTTTACTTAATGTATTTGACCTCAAAGTCGTTTCAAGCTAATTTAGCGAAAATGTTGTTCATTCAGCCATGTAGAAAATAAAAACAAAACAAAACAAAATTGAACAAAGAATGTCCCCTTCTGGAGAATTTCCTCTTTCAGATTTACAGTTATATATATGTTTGTATACAGGATTAGATTTGTTTTCACGAGTTGATCACAGATTGATCACGCTAAATCACGAATCGGTAGAAGTTAAAATTCATGCACTGGCCATTGAATCAGTGGCCAGTGGCTGAATGGTATACAAGCTCGCTAGCTTGCTTTGTAAATGGAAGGTCCTGGGTTCGACGCCTGTCAAACTAGGATGATACACCTGTGTCTGGCAGTATTTCCTGTGGCTGATTTTCAATGCTTCTCTAACTGATATCAATCTGTGATCAACTCGCAAAAATAAGTAAATCAATCGAAAATGGAAAACAATTAACTGGTACAGTATAATAA